TAATAGAGTAACAAGGATGTAGATGGAAAGATGACATTTGATAATGTCATAGTCAAGAAAAGGGCTGATATACGGGTTTTGTCAAATAGAGGGGTTGAATTGCGCCTTCTACCTTTTTATTAGTGGTAAATATTTTCAAAGGAAGAACATTATGTATAGAGAAAAAGTAAAAATTAAAAAGTTTCTCGTATTTAAAATGCATAATTTTAATATTAGGTTTGTTTCTTCATTTAATATGTTTTTGAATTTCACAGTAGAAATTATTAAGTTGGTGTGGATTGATATTTTGATATTGGATTTGTTTCTTCATTAATATGTTTTTTTTTTATTATAATATAGTTTACAGTGTAAAATAAAAAATTCATTTACAATATCAATAGATAAAAATAAATTTGACAAAGTTCTGCTTACGTTTCTAGCTTCTTCAAGAACATGCTTCTTTTTCTGTTTTTCATTTTTTCTTTTCTTTTTTTTATTTTTTATTTTTTTGAAAATAGGCAGTGGCTCAAGAACATGCTCCTTAGAGCATGTACAACGCACGAACTCTACAGGTTCTCGGAAAAAAGAAAGGTTAAATGTTAATTTGGATCCCTCAACTTTAGTAAGTTGCACATTTTTTGTCTCTCAACAATTTTTTGTACTTTTTTTATTCCTCAACTCTAAGAAATGCACACCGTTAGTCCTTTCGTCCATCTAGATAGTTAACTTCGTTCATGTAGTATTTTTTATATTTTTTTATGACATGGCGAAAACAATTTTAAAAAGTGTTAATCTGGACATTTTTTTGATGACATATCAATGCCAACTCATAAACCAAATTTGATTAACATTTATATTTTTAATAAAAAATAAAAAACTATAAATTTACCTTAATACCCATATCTCCCTTTCTTGATCCATCTTCTTCACCTCTTTCGATCCATCTTCTTCCTTTCTTTTTCTTTCTTCCTCTTCTTCCTCTGTGTTGCTGGGTTCCCTCAAGCTCAACTAATTTGGGTTCAAGGGAACCCAGCTTAGGTTCGATGGAACCCACTTCTGGGTTCCGTCAAACCTAGATCTGCTCGGTTCGAGGAACCCAACTCGGGTTCAATGGAATCCATCTATTGGGTTACATCAAACTAGATCTACTGGGTTTGGAAGAGAAAAGTTGAGCAGTATTTGGTCGACTTTGGCATTTCATACACAATTATCAACTAGATTGATTCCAATGTTTGCTTTCTTTTGTGCATCTTGCATCCCTTTTAGAATTGTTCAAAGAGCATGTCTGATTAGGTTCTTTAGTTAGATAGGTTTCTACCATGGTTTTTGAAAAGGATAAAAAATGGAGACTAACTTGGGCAAAAGTAAAGGCAAACTACATTCTCTGATTTCTGTATTCTTTTCCTCCAAAATCAATTTTGTTTCTGACAATATGTGTTAAAATACTGATAAATTCACTATAGATTTTTCTTCATTGCAACCTTATTAACTGGTTTTTCAAAACTTCTACATTGTCATTTCTCAAGCATTTGGAGCCTGCTAATATGTATTCTATAAGACTATAACTTTTGCTTGTTTGCATTAGTCGTAACTCATAAGTTGATTTCATAGTTGCATGTATTTGTCTCTCCTTTTCAAATCCTTATTTTAATATATGTGGATGAATATTGCACTATAGATCCATGTTTTCTCAGTTTCAATATTGATTCTTGATATTAAAGTCCTGACGAACCCAGAACAGATCTAGGTTCGTGACAAACCCAGAACAGACCTAGGTTTGCGACAAACCCAGAACATATCTGGGTTCGTAACGAACCTAGTCATGGCCAAGGAGGGGGATGAGTGGGAGGGGAGAAGAGAAACAATGACAAAAAGAGGAAAAATGGCTGGAAACAGTGACAAAGAATTAAAAATAACAATTAAATATGAGTTGGCATGTACACCTAAGCTAATTGTATGATTTGTCATTGACATGTCATTAAAAAGGTGCCATTCTGGAATATATAACTGCCAGCTGTGAGTTAACTGATGAAAGATCAAAATTGTGCAATTCTTAGAGTTGAGGGATCAAAAAGGTGCAAAAAATAATTGAAGGACCAAAAAAGTGCAACTTTATAAAGTTGAGAGACCAAATTTAGCATTTAACCAAAAAGAAACAAAGCATGCATTTTATCCATTTGAGTAATTTAAAAAAAGGAGAGTTGAGGTCTATTTTATTTTATTTTATTTTTATGTTTGGCTCTAGAAAGGGCAAAAAAATTGACGCCAGCCATTAGATGGTTATATTCAATTGTTGGTATTAAAAAAATATATATTTAATTATAGATTAAATAAAATAATGTTAGTATGATTTTGAAAAAAATTCTATTTAAGTATATACATTGAAAATGAGGTGTTTAGTTAGATTTTTTTTTAACAAAAAAGAAAAAATCAAAATAAAGACCACAAAAACTTATTTTTATTTTACTAGGTTATTTAGCTTGAATAAATTTTGTTAGAATCTATATTTTTTAAATTATATATTAATATTAAAAAAATATTTTACATGTCATACTTTAAAAATTTTTGGAGAACCTATCTAAAATTTTATTTTTTTAATTAATATTTTTAAAAACAAATTATTTGATTAAAAATTTTATTCATATATATTTATGCATATCAATTTTCAAATAGATATAGTAGGCCTAACATGTTTGTTGATTATATAGAATTTAATATCATCAAATATGTATTACTAAATAAAGTTTTTTCGAGCAAAAAGTTATAAATATGAGATCAATATAAAAATTGATATATATGATCTATAAAATAAAACTTTCAATCTAATAATTGATTTTTAAAAATATTATTTTAAATGTGAGTTTTTAGACAAATTATTTAAAAAATCTTTAAAAGATGATTTGCACTGCACTAACCCCTATTAATATGTATTAGTTGTAGATTCTCATGTTGATAATGCCATTTACACTAAATTCTACCTCCTCACATGGTTTTGGTGAAACCTAATTAGGTAAGCACAATTCTATCAAATTTGATCTTGTCTACTAACAATCACATAGATAACACCTTTATTTATCACCTAGTGGAGTGGCATTTGCCCTCAGAGTCTCATTGGTCCCTTCTCTTTTTTCATTTCTTGATTTTTTAAAAGTACTGAATACAGGTAGCACTCTCTTTTTCTTACCACTAATATAAAATACAACACCTTTAATTACGTAAGGGGAAAAATGGTGTCTAAGAAAAAAATTTTAAAAACGAACCATTGCATTTGGAGAAGGCATCATTTTTATCTAATAACTAGTAATTTGTATTTTATAAAAAAAATTAGTAATTTGTAATTTAATATTATTTTATATAATACCATCAATTTAAGTAATTCGGTAATTATCTTTTTTAATTGAAAATAAAAAATTTTAAATTCAAATAACATAACATACAAATGGATTAAAATAAGTGATAAAAATAATTATCTTTCCTTTGATACCAAGATAAAATATCTATATTATTTTATATAATATTTTTTATTAACATCTACTATTTAAAAATTACATTAAATTTTAATTAATTTAATATTAAATTCCATTAAACCTGTACAAAAATATTTTACCAATAATTAATTCTTCATTCACAACTCTGGAACTCTGGAAGACTGGAACTCGACATATTCAGCAAAATTTCTTCTCCCCGAACCAATTCCTTCCACCCCGAACCAGCAATATGTGGAAGGTGGTACAACACATTTTCAGTGTTTCATTAGATAAAAACGAAGTTCCTGATACGAAGGGTTAGCTGATATCCTGAGGGTTGTTGTTGCCCTGGTAGAAGGGGAAGGAAACTCTTGATACAGGCGGCACAACTGAATTTAAACGCAACTCAAACTAACCTACCTACCCAGACTGCTCTTTGACTGGTAGTTTTCTGAACTTCCTTCTTCCTTCTTCCTTCCTTCCATGAGTATCGCTGTATATCCCTTTCTGTATGGACTATGGAAACCACCCTAGAGCACCCTCCAGAAACCTCAATCGATGATCCCAATCCACCGGGAAATTCAGATCATGGTCTTGCTACCAATCTAGACGGGGTAGACTCCCCGGAAAATCCACGGAGTTCCGATCATGACCTTCTCGAGGAGTTGGAGTCTCTTCGAGGGTCCTACCAGGCTCTCCAATCAAAGTCGTCAGCAATGGAGGAGAATCTGCTTATGTTTCAGCAACAGAGAGATGCCGCCATCAGTCGACAAGCCGAGCGAACAGAAGCTATCGACGAATTGTCTCGTGAAAGGGACTCTCTTCGCAGTAAAATCGACCAATTCGAAGCTTCTTTGGAGGAAAAACAAATGGAATTCGCTAAAAGGGTCGAGGAAGAGGTGATAGAGAAGGAATATCTCAAGAAAGAATTAGAAGTTTCTAGAAAGAGAATCGAAGAATTGGAATCTGATAAGAAAGTGATAAGCGAGTTCCTCGGTAAGAATCTGAATTCAATTAGGTCAGTGAAGGAGAATTTGGTTAAATTAATTGAGGGTTTAGATGATGAGAAGGTAGTGATTGATAGGGTTGATGATGCGAGTTCAGAATTGGAATTAGAAGAAGAATTTAGGGTTTTTCAGGGAGAAATAGGCACCCTTTTAAATCTTGCAACTGAATCGAGTTCGAAGCTGAGCGAGTATAAGGAAGCAAGGAAGAAAGAGAAAAGGGAATTGGAGAGCAGTGTGGTGAGCTTAACTGAGGAGAATCGCGACATCAATAACTTGTTGAGGGTTGCCCTGGTGGAGAAAGAGGCAGTGGAGAAAAGTCTAAACAAGTTGAAAGGGAACAGTGATCAAAAGAGAGTGGCATTGTTACAGTTTGCAGAGAGGGGGTTGCAGAGAGTAGGTTTTGGGTTCATGATGGGTGGTGCCCCAACTGGGAATAATGAGCAGGCAGTGGAGAGTTCCGCGGCTAGCACTACTTCTACTACGGCTAGTAAGTCAGATGGTAGTGAGAGTGAAGAGGAGGTTGTTAGTCTGGTATGTTCAGTTTCATTTGCTATGAATTTGACTTTTGGAGTGAATTTATGCTGCTTTAATCTTTGGAATTTGATATTACTATGTTTGGTTGATTAAATGTTTGGGAATTAAATGTAGGCATTATATGTGAACTTGGAGATCATGCACTGCTGAATTTGGTAATTCTAACCCATTCTTTATAGGCCTCAACTGTGGAGAGGATAATGAAGAATTTACGACTGGAAATTTCTCAATTACGGAGAGCTTTGGAAGAGTCTAGGTATTATTCATCATTGACCTGCAATGCCTTGGGATCTTTTTGCTTTAGTTTTTGTATCTGAAGGTAGTGTCGCTTGCATCATAGAGATAAGGGAATGAAGCTAAACGGGAAAAAAAGAACTATAGGTTATATATGAACTTCCATAGAAAGAAATATTGGTCTAATCTAATGCACTTTTATGTTGAAAGACTTGAAGTTGTAGAGAATGTGAATCTGCTTACAACCCCAATTCTGAAGGTTTTGCAAACTTGATTTTAGTTATTTATTGTTGTTTCTATCCCAGGTCAGACACTGAGCGATTACAGAGTCTTACCGAGAAACAAGCACAGAAAATTGAAGAGAACACAGTGTACATCAAAGAGTTGGAAGATAGAGAGAGGGTTCTAGCTCAACATGTAATTCTGTTTTATTGAGTAATGAAATGAATGTTGGTGTACAACTCTTAAAATCTGCTCTCTTTCTTCCTGATCCCTAATTCTCCTATTTTGTTTAATAACTCTACTAGGCTGAGGACCTCTTGATGGAAATAAAAGAAACTGAAGCCGAGGTTGCCAGATGGAGAGAAGCTTGTGAATTGGAAGTTGAAGCTGGAAAAACTGAGATAGAAGAACGTGACAAATTGGTAGATGCTCATTTCTTTTTACTAGAACTGCTATTTCATCTACTCTGCATATTATTTGTCGAGATTACTACATACTACCCATCTTGGAAATTGATTCTGGCACTGTCACCATACCATTAGGTTGTTATTCTCAAGCAGGAGTTGGAGAAAACAAAGGCTGCTCTGGATATATCGAATGGCAAGTTAAAGCTAAAAGAAGAACTTGCAGCTGCGGCAATGGCTGCCCAAGCAGCCGCGGAGAAGTCTCTGCAGCTAGCTGATGGCAGGGCAGCGGAGTTACGTGAACGGATTGAGGAACTAACGAAGCAATTAGAAGAAGCAGAGAACAGAGAGAAGAAACACCGTAAAGGCAGACGCATATGTTGGCCATGGCAGTTCCTAAAAATGCACATGACTGCAAATTCAAATACTGGAGTTCAAAATGTACGACGGATGCTACCAGAAATGCAAGCCTTGCTTCACCCTGGTGCCTGATGGAATTGCCTTGTCTTTAATAACAATCGCTTGCAAATTCAATAGTTCTTTTTTTCTTTTTCTTTTTTTCATTCAAATTTTCAATTTTCCTTTATCCTCCCTTGTCTAATAATTTTTTGTTTGTCATTGAGTCAGTATCAAATTATAGTTATGTAAAAAAAGGTTTTTGTTTTGCAATTCAAATCACATGATTTTTTTTTTTTTTAATGTAAAAATAAGCAACTCTCTTACTCTTAACCCAAGCTTTCAATGTAGTTCGCGCATGTCAAATTGGGAATGTCAAAACCAACAATTAGGAATATCAAAACCATTATATTTAGACGGGTAGTTTTACATGAAATATGTTACATAATACAGCAACAAAAGGTCAATCCAACAACAAACACAAGCATAAGCCGGATAGGAATAGTCATCCAGAAACAGTAATGCTAAACCAAACAAATGAGGTACATTAAGGTGACTTCATGTTGCCATTTACACCGGTTTTCTTCACATTCTTGAATATCAACATCTTTTAGATGCTAATTGAAGAGCTCTCCCATTTCCTTTTTCATCATTCCTTTGATCTGAGAGGAAAATTTTAATCAAGGTGAAATTAGGACTTGATATTATATCAAATCAAAAAAATATTATATAATTTAAACTACATTGAACTGCACAACTTAAACTATTAGATAGAAATGAGTTCTAAAGTTAGGTTGACCCAATTCAATAATTTTTATTTTGCAATCTAAATTATAAATACAGAAAACTCACCAAATTTTGATCACAAATTTATGAACTAAAAAAGATTGGTTCAACATCATTAACTTCTCTGTACGCACATGTAGGGAATAGAAAGATACCTGTTTGGCCGAAAGTCCAATTTCCTTCAAATCATCAAGCTGTGAAACAAACATTTACTTGGTTATAAATTTAAGGATCTTGCAAAAATTAGTGGACAAATTACAAAACAATCGTTGAGTATTTAAAAGGTAACAGAACACAATAAAAAAAAAAAAAAAGAAAAAGAAAAAGAAAAATTCCATTTAAAAGGAAATATCCTTCATGTTATCGACAGGGCTTACATCTTTGAAGGGTTCTGGAGATTCTTCGCGAAGTTCAAGAATGGAAGTAGCTCTCTTCTCTCCGATTCCCTGTATAACAACATCAATAATGTGGCATGGTTTTGATAACAGAAAACCACATTGATATTTGTGAAGAAAATGACCCTCACCTTAAGTTTTTTCAACTCCTCCCTGTAATACGAACAAAAGAAAGAACAAAAAAATGCGAAAAAATGTTATTAGTTCATCATGAGGAACAATGAAAGAGTAGAAATCTTTTTCACTCTGCAAAGGCTAGTAAAGAAGTTCAATAACCTGCCATTTGCGGTAGACATACCATTCCAAATGATTTATTAGATTAGAACAAAATTTCCCATAATGCTGCTACTAATGTGCAAATTTTCCTACTTTTCAATTGATTTTGCTATCTAGTAAAAGGAAAAGACAGCATGAACCCATTTTCCATAAAAAGTATAGCATAAACATCACTGCTGCAACATGTGTCATATAAAGATACTGGTGTTACAATATTACATTATGGTTGAAAAAGAGCCTTGTGCAAAGCATATAATGAACTGTGTTTGAGAAATAAGTTTAAATGTTATAATAGGCAAAAAAAATGCGATTGAAATTGAGGGTGAAAAAGACCCTTGGGCAAAGCATGTACTTACTTGTTGGCTGTATTTAAAAACCTAAGGTATTCTTGAACAAGAGAGTTCTGCAATAACAGAATAATGAAATTCCCAGTATTAGTCAAAATTTAAATATACAGGGAGATAATTTGGTTAAAAATACAATTTCGGACCTTCACTCCTGAACTACGCATACTGAAGGTTTGCCAAGGACTTGAGCTGATGTTTGCAAGCTCACACTTTTCATTAACTTGTATACTAGGCTCAGGAGTTTTAGGCTCTAAAGTATCAGTAGAGAATTGAGCATTGAGAGCATCATTCTTTGGTGGGATCTCTACACATGACGGAATTGAGGAATAAAGCAATTTCAGATTGTTAGATAACTCCTGTAAACATTCACTAATTGGTGGTGATCCACTTTCGTTGATAAGAGAATTGTTGTTCTCTTTATCTATGGCATGACCTGTTTCATTGAAAGATAAATAACAGAAAGAAGAAGAGGATCAGTTTATAATTTTATACCCTGAATCAAGTCTAGCAAATCAAATTTCAACATTCACATGCTATTTACCTTCTTCAACCAAAGACAATGCTTTTACACCACTAATTATACTAGGAGTAACTTCTTCATGATTTTCCTCACTCTGTTGAACACCCTTGGAACCGAGTAACAAACAGATTAACAAGTTATGTCTCTTAACAAGTTAAACACAGTGGAAAGTTGAATCACCTTATCTGTTATGGTGGGTACTTGTAAACCAAGAGCTGCTAAATGGGAAGGTTCCTGAAAAAGAAAAATAAAAAATAAAAAGGTAAATCGGTGGATCCTTACATCAAAAGACAATGCTTTTACACCACTAGTGATACTAGGAGTAACTTCATCATGATTTTCCTCACTCTGAAGAACACCGTTGGAAATTGGAATGAAGTAACAAACAGACTAACAATTTGTTTCTCTTAACAAGCTAAAACAGTGGAAAGCTGAGTCACCTTGTCTGTTATGGCTGTTTCTTGTAAACCAAGAGCTGCTAAAGGGGAAAGTTCCTGAAAAAGAAAAATGAAAAATAAAAAAGTGAACAGTTGGATCCTTATATCAAAAGACAATGCTATTACACCACTATTGATACTAGGAGTAGCTTCATCATGATTTTCTTCACTCTGTAGAACACCCTTGGAAGTTGGAACCAAGTAACAAACAGATTAACAAGTTGTTTCTCTTAACAAGCGAGACACAGTGGAAAGTTGAATCACCTTATCTGTTATGGTGGTTTCTTGTAAACCAAGAGCTGGTAAAGGGGAAGGTTCCTGAAAAAGAAAAATGAAGAAGAAGAAGAAGAAGAAGTGAACAGCTGAACACATGGAATCTTCAAGCTGGTTCAGAAATGAAAAACTCTGGATAATATTGGTGTATGTAATGAATGCCCAATAATTTACTGACTTTTCAATTGGGAAGAAGATTGTGTATTTTTTTAGCACAACAAGTAATTAAACATAAGAAGTTAGAAGTCAATGTCAACATGAATTTTGCAGAATGCTAAATCCTAGCAAACTGACAAAAAAGGGGGGGCAAAACAAGAATTACCTCGTCACAAGTTATAATTGCTTTTTCACTGCCTAAAGAGGAGTTATCCTGCCCAAAACAATGATACCATTTAGATTAAGCAAAAAGAATTTTCAACATGTATTACATCTAAAGTTTATGTATTTCCCGGAAAAGAATCAAAATAAAAAATCAACGAAACTGTTCAAAGAAACATTACCTCTTCCTGCAGAGGATGTTCAATGGTTGCGACAATATCTGTGGAGGTTGCCTGCATTGGTAACTATGGGGCCTTGTTACATTTTGAAAACCATTTTTTCATCACAACAACATATGATTTTCTGAAGCCTTTTAAATGCAAATTAGACTGACAGAAATATAATCAGATGTTTTCCATTCCAATCTTTCCCTAAACATCTTCTAGTTTTGTTTCCAAAGAAAGAAAAATAGTCAAAAAGCAGGTACCTTCTGCAATGCCTTCTTAGATTTTGCTGAATGACTTGTTTCAGTAAATAGTTTCCTTCATGTAGAAGAAAAATAAATTATGAAATTGATAGTTCAATAATGAATATACCTTTCTTTGGCAATGAAATAATAATGATGGCTAAGATTCAGTTTAGCTTGTAGAATATAGAATACCTTCCTTTGATCACTGAAGCCATACCATTGGCTTTCCTTTCAGAAAATTTCCTTTCAGAAAATTGCACATGTGAGCCTGACTGTTTCTTCACAGTTGAAGAAACACTCCCAGGAATGGAGCTCTTCAGTGAAGAATGCCCCATTAGTCTTGCTGAACTTTTGTTTCTCTTTGTTGAGTCTGTGACAGTCTGACTAGTGCCAAGACAAGAACGAGATGCCAGACTTACAATGTGCACAGAGTCTTGGCAAAATAATGGAGACTACATGGCAAAGATGAGGATCAGTGCAAAGAAAAGGTTGATAAACATAAGGAATCTTGTAAAAAATTTAGATCAAAAGCCTTACCAAGCAAGCAACTATCAGAATTTGGTTTGTCCCTTCCAAGGAAGTTCGCAACATGCGAGTTAATGTACTTTCTCGATAAGGTACAAGGCTTTTGTTAGCATTTAAAGCATGAACAACATTCTGCAAAGCATATATGGGTTTATTAATCTTAGTATTCTCAAGAAGATTAAGAGCATTGGTGCTCTTTCTCCGACCATCCTCATAACCTGTTAAAAGGAAAACCAGCCACAATGTGAGAAGAGGTACATGTTTATTATGAATCCTGCCACAAAAAATTGTGACAGATAAAATAACTGCTTAATTGTGGTTAAAAATTAAAACCTGCCAAATCAACAACGTTCAACTTCCCGAGAGGAATAGTATCTGACTTTTCACCCTGAAATACATGAATGACTAGGCCTTTGTGGCTTCTACAAGGAGGTTCAGTTTTCTTCTGTGATTTATGTAAATTTCGTCCACTAAGATATAATTTCTGAAATTCTAAAATGGATTTCACAGGAACCTGAAAGAGATAAATGAAATGAATAGTCAAATTAGTCATACCATACAAACATATCCTTTAAAGGGTCAAACAACTTGCCTGAGAAAGTCCTTTAAGTTGAGTTTTGCCTTTAGCGTCATTCAATACTGAAACTTCAGATTTCTTTGGATCTAAAAGATCATAGGCACGTTCATTTATAATATGATAAGAAGATATTGATACCAACTTCCCACTTTCCACTGCCAAAGAAAGAACCTCAGCCATTGCTTGAACTGCCAAACCTGGTTCATTTTCAGAACCCTACAACAAATAAATGTTTTTATTAATAACGAGAACATTGTTTCAAAGAAAAATATAAAAAATAGAATTTAGAACTCATGCTAGCAAAACAATCTGACCTGAATTAAGTAGGTCTTTCCACTACCCCTTGCTCCATAAGCAACAATAGTGGCATCATGACCATCAAAAATTCCAGAAATTAGTGGTTTTACTTCCCTTGAAAAGATTATATCATTTCCCTCATTCTGCTCATAGCAATAATCCACTTTGTAAGACTCATTTTGGCTGCAAGAAGAAGTAACTAAGCTAGATAAGCTAACTAGCTAAGGACAAAATAAAGAAAGCTCAATTTTTAAGTTGAAGATACGCTTTTCCCGTTGTAGAAGCCTTTAGTGGCAACACCCTATTCAACTAAACCAATTAGGTGCCAGAGATTTGATGTAACATAATCCTTTCTCAAGGAAACTGTACTCAACAAAGCCTAACGCATAAATCCTCAAGAAAGGGGAAAAAAACCAATCTTCATTCTTCATTTTAAAATACGATTCCATTGCTTTGGAAGAAAAATGATTTCAGCCTAGTAAGACTGCAAGGTAAAGTTAATAGAAACAAACACTCTTAACAAAGTGCAAAAAATATTTAAGTAACCAAGTAATGATATGATATCATTGTTCCATAAATCAGCGTTCTTAACGGTTGAATGGAGATAAAAAAATAAAGCCTAACTCTTGACCAGTTCTTGAACTAACCAGAAGAACCTAAGCCGTAGCGCTTTGAGTTCAAATTATCAATATATATTATTTTTACTGCGCTGCTCAAAAGCCAAAAAGCTCATAATTCCTTCATCAAAAGAGAAGAAAATTATTACCTAAATCTAGAATTTCCAACGCCCTAATAAATGATTGTATGGCAAAGTAGTATGAGGTTTTTCATGTTATTTTTTGACTACACTTTCTCAGTAACCAAATGGAACGGAACGCAACTCTTAACATTTTCAGCATTCTTTAAAGCCAATTCAATTACAAATTTCAAACAGAAACCCTAAAACCTAGCATATCGATCTCCAAACAAACTCACAACGCTTCTCGAACTTCGGAAATGAAAAATTAAAATTAAAAGGAAGAACGAAAGTATGAAGAATCCCATTTTCTTTTCCCTCGGCAGCTGTTTTAGCTAAAAAACAAAAATCAATTCAATTTTTCTGTTCATAAAAATCAAGAATCAAGGATGAGGAACATACCTTACAGACTGATGTTCAAAAGAGATAGTTACAGTCTCGGACTCATCTCCGTTCGGTTTCTGGACCGAAATTCGATCCTTGGTACGACTGCTGCCGGACTCTGATTCCAGATCTGTGAATCCGCTCCTGATCTTCGCTATCACTCGAACCTTCCGACCCTGGATCGCCCCCATCCGACCAGGATCCATCCAGAAGCTTCAAATTTAAGAACGAACAAAACAGACTGAAGGATTTGGGAGAGAATTAGAGAGGGAGTTGTGTACTGTGCGGGATTAAATTTGGAGATAAGTAGAGAAGTAGCCGTTACCGTATCGAAACGGGGTTTTCAAATTCAGCTCTTCTCGCGCTCCTCCTTAGTTTACATACCTAATACGACGACACTTTCCCCATTTGGCTTTCCCTCTTACGACTTACGCCATTCAAAACGCTGCGTTTCATTAATTTTATCTTCTCTTTTCAAAAAAATAAATATTTATTTCCTGCTTAGAATAATGCATTGGGCTATCCTCTAAACAAATTTAAAAAAAAATTTAGTTAAAATTATTTATAATTAATATTTTAAAAATTAATTAAAATTTTATTATTATCTTTAAAAAATTAATTAGTTAAATTAAAAGTTACATTTATTTAATTCATGCATAATAATTTTTATATTAATTAATACTTTTAATTTTTTAATAAAAAATTTTTATTTTTTAAAATATATTAATAGTGTTAAATTTTATATAATTAATGAATTAATTAAATTTATTTGATTAATTTAAAATTTAGATTAATTTATATAAATAAATTGTTTAATTTAATATTTAATTTTTGAAAAATATTAATTAAAAATAAGTTTTTTTATACGCTCTTAAAATAAAGATTTATAAATATCACGTGGTTTGAAACGGTGACGTTCCAATAGATTGGAATAGCTGATGTCTCTTTTTTCTTCTCGACGACTTTCTCGGCAACCAAACAGGAGTCGGAAGGATGGATGAGAAGAGAGAGACAGACGGCGGCGCGAGGAAGATACAGTCGCCGTGCGACGTCGAGGCCTTGAAGAAGTGCTTGGAGGAGAACAAAGGGGACTACGTCAAGTGCCAGTCGGAGATTGAAGCTTTCAAGTCCTCCTGTTCCTTGAAGAAACCGGATTCTTCTACCCCGAGCGCGAGATCCGCATGAATCTTTTGCTGATCCATGAGAATCCAGTTTCTTTGATTTTCCATTTTTTCTGTGTTTTGTTCACTACACAGCTTTGGTCTTCGATACCATTTGCCGAACTGATGAAATCATTCATAATAAGGCTAATATGTTTCGATTGCAAGCTTTAATGCTTGAACTGATTTCATTTTTTATCCTTTTCGTTGTTACTTGATTTTGTACTTTGAATCGCAAAACTGAATTCTGATATCTTGATGTCAAAATAATACAAATGAATAAATGAATGATGAATTTTAGAATTGAAAAAATGTTGTGTAGTTTAAACTAAGTGATCCTCTACTGGAAACACATTTATCATGAGATTACATCATCCATCATCGTCCTCTGGTCTCTGGAACACCATATGCCCGGATTCATCTTTGTCAAAGAGACGCTCGATCAAAACATCCCAGCTTTCTTTGCCCGTGGTTACCATTGATGGTTGAAGAGATGGTTCACCACTGGATTCATTTGACCTTTCCCCTTCTGGCGGCTCATGGAAGGTTCCATAAGGAGAGGGTGCGTAAGCATGGGGCACATCCAGCGTAACAGCTCTCTTCAATGCAGCCTGGTATTCTTCACTATGTTCTTTTGCCAAAGTCTCCTGTCGTTCCATTCTCTGCTTCGCCGGGATTTCCATGGTCTTATCTTCCTCCAGCATTAACTAAATTTATGGATGAGAGATAAAGGTGTCAACTTTTAATTGAAATACATGCTTCCCTAGTAGTCTTGCTAATGCACGCACTACATATACCAACAGTTTGTGTGTATTAGGAAGGAATTGTTTTATTGAGATTTGTGAAGTAGTTTCCATATCAAATGCATTCTTGAACCACATAAACATTTCATTAGCATGATTTCCCCATTACCAAGAAAAGAAGAGGTAAAGCTAATAAAACTTACATCTAGAGCTTTACTGGCTTCTCTTTCGATCCATATTATACCATGGTCAGAGGTGGCATTACAAGAAAGTACTATGTGCTCGAATCTCCCATCCACTGGCACTCCTGTCCTAACAACGGGGGGGTATCTCCCACATCTGCAGTGGGATATCATCAAGAAGTCAAAATCAATTGACATTATAATTTATAAATATGGCTAATCTTATGATCACTAGGTAGTATTGTGTTATTTTGTTAATTAAGAACATCTTTAGACTACATGCATAGACCTGAGCTTCTTCAGCACTTTTGCGTAAGATATAACCATGTCATGCTAGTTATGTCTTGAATCTATAAGTACAAGGAACTAGGATACGTTTTCAAGCATTAGAACTTGGTGTTAAGTTGCGGCTTTGCAGGGTATTATCAAATAATCAAACTAACTTTGTTGAGGAGTTCACATTATAAAGAGACCTGTTATGCTGAACTATACCTGAAAAGCTTTCTCTCTACAATGTGATAGAGGCGACCAGGTGCATAGAGCCTCCTTGGATCTCTAAGCATTTTCTCTTCTGACATACATGTGTCCCTCATGCATCTTAGGCATAGTAGGCACGGCAAACTATCACATCAAGAAAATAAAACTTGTCAATACATTCCTAGTGACCTTACACTGCCAATATAACGTAACTTGATTTCCATGCTCAACACACCGATTAGTCCTAAGTTAAGGGTACATCATGATTTTGACACTTAGGACCTAAAAGCTAATTGGGAATTGGGAATTGGGATGACGATGCACAACAAATAAGAGTGGGTTTTCACATGGCAACAAAAGTTTTGACAGAAAGTATAGGGCATTTTGCGTTGACTGGGTCAATTTAACATTATCAGGTTTTCTAAATGATGTTAAAATATTCTCCAAAAACCTTTATAAACTCTACTCAATATAATTGACAAGTCCAAACCTACCAGAAAAGTGACTGGAAAATGTCTTCCAACACACCAATTAATCCCAAGTTAAGGGTACATCATGATTTTGACCCTTATTGTATGTTTGGATTGAGGGGAATGGAGGGGAGGGTAAAATTTTTCTCTAGTTGGTTATCAAAAAAATTGGAGGGGAGGAGAGGGGAAATTTTGAAGGTAATGGAGGGATAAAATTCCCCTTTGCTCTCCTCCATTCCCCTCAACCCAAACATGTGGTTAGGGACCTAAGAGTAGGGATCCACTTACACGTAGGTCTTACACATCATACTTACATAAAATCTCAACTATTCATTTCTCCACTTTTAATGATTGAGATTTATTATAACTTTTTAGATAAAAAAAAATAACTATTTTTAATAAATATGATAAAAAGTGAATAAATCTCAACCATTAAAAGTGGAGAGAGGAATGGTTGAAATTTTATGTCAGTGTGGTGTATATGACTTGTGTGTCCCTACTCGGGACCTAAAAGCTAATTGTGAATTGGGATGATGACGTACATCAAATTAGAGTGTGTTTTCCCATGGCAACAAAAGTTTTGACAGAAAGTATAGGGCATTTTGCATTGACTGGATCAATGTAACATCATTAGGTTTTCTAAATGATGTTAACATATGAGCATGCGGAAAATCAAGACATCTTGGTATTAAAATTGCCAAGACGTCCGATCACAACCATCATTTAAGTGGGACACAACCATCACAGTAGTGGTTGTGTCTGGATGTCCCGGTAATTTTAATGCCAGGATGTCTTGATTTTCACTTTTTTGTTAACATATTCTCCAAAAACGTATATAAGCTCTACTCAATATTTGTGAAAAGTTCAAACCTACCAGAAAAGTGACTTGAAAATGTCTTCCAATGGTGTTGCTGTCCTTGGCAAGAAATCATCCTAATTAAGCAATAACCAGAATTAAATTCAAAGATGATTATCATAACACCATAAAAGTTCAACCTTTTTTTGGCCAACATACAAGTCCAAGCAAAAGATTTAAAAATGAAAACAAGCATATGAATGGTTGGGAGACTAAAGTGATGCAATAAGATTATGTTCAAGGAGGAGTAGAGCATAAAAGTAATCACAATACTCTCAACCAAGTACTATTGTTGTTAAGGATCAATATAATCATTATTTAATCTTTTACTCAAACAACCATTTCCCTTGGCCAGGCACGGAGCATTTGAATAAAGTTTGGCACACAGAACAGAAACCCATCTACATATCAGAAATGTATGCTGAATTGCCAATGTTAAACATGTTTCCTAGTATCAAATTGCAGCAAGAGGGAAAAAAGGACTAGACATGATAAAAACAACTTTAGATTCAAGTAGTTCCTAATGCACAAAAAAATCCAACAATGTAGAATAAAAAAATTATGAACTTGCCTGCAGCACCACAGATTTGATAACATCTGCATATCTGACTGCCAAGTTTAGTGACATACACCTTGCAGGTGCGATGGCATAGCATCTGATCCTCTCCCTGACAATGTTTCCTAATATTTCCCTATTCTGCACCACCACCAATGTCAGCATTGCTGCTACACCTGACCCAAGTGAATGTCCGGCAAATGTCAATGTATAGTTTGGATACTTCTCCACCAATTCTCTTAAAGTATCACATTCTGCCTTCAAAACCCATACTGCAGCCTTTAGCAGTCCATTATGAACATAGCCACCATCAAATTGCTGCTGCCCCAGCTTATTATCCAAAAGCACTTGATAGTCACTCTCCTTGGCCAAATTAAGACCTCTGATGGCAAGAACTATATCAGCATGATCATGGTCAAGATACAATATATATGAAGGAACCCGCCCACTATTGTCTTCATAGGTTTTTCTCAGGATCAACCAATCTGGGTTGATCCCATACCCTCCAGGAGGTTCCCAGAGGGGATGCCGAAGATCATCTTCATAGACAGCCAGAATATAGCGGCATAGTCGAGGTACAGGCTCAAATTCTTCAGCAGTAGCAAGACCCCAACTCTCACTGTCATGGCCTGCAGTATGAAGGCATCGTTTCCATGCCCAGCGCGCACAAGCTAGACAGTAAACACATTCAAGGAGAGGAAGCCCACATACAATTGACATTGCCACCTAACTCAAAGCACCACAAGGAATAAAGAAGTTCGAAACAACAAGAACGACTGAATCGAATTCAAATTGATGAAAAACACAAGTCATCCAAAACAAATATGCAGTTCTCAGTACTCAGCAGAGCCTAAAAACCATAGAAACAGAAGGGATTGCAACGCAATGAATCAAGGAAACCGATTCATCGAACAAGAAACTGAATTGGATCTCCTCCAATTAGGGTTCTTCTACCACTTCAATGCCCCAAGTTACCAATGATCAAATTTTCACAAAAGTAATCATAATAACAGAAAATAAGAAAGACCCAAGTTCCAAAATCGAGTCTTGATGAGTAAAGGAGAAGAATTTCAATCATAAAAGGAGAAATTTCACCTAAAAACCGCAGGATTTTGACCTTCAGGCACCAGAAACTTCCATGGTCGTCACACGCTAAGCAAGCTTAATTACTGAAAGACCATATAAGGAACACGATTAATACAACAGGCATGTTCAGGGATGAATTGCTGATGCTGAGTTGGGGTAATAATAACATTGATTTTTCTATTTTTTATTTTTTATTTTTTATTTTTTTGAAAATAGGCAATGGAAACATAGAAATTGAATGGAAAGGGAAAGGAATTAAGGAAATCTGGGGAACGGGTAGAGGTTTACCTGCTAGTCAAAACAAGAAACAGGGGTAGGTGGGTCGTGGAAGTTGAGCGTACACATTGCTTCTTGTTGTCAAATGGTTGTCGTGAGAATTGAAAATTCGTTGAAGTTCTAACCGGACGAGTAGTTTTGTCCAAGAGCTTGTCCTGTCGGTCTGATTTTCTTTGAGTTTTTCTATGTGCCTGCCTTATCACCTTTTTTTTTTTAACAGATTAAAAATTGGAAGTTGGGGTCGAATCCAACCCAAGAGATTGAGATGTGCTTATTAAGGGCCATAAAATCATCAAATTGAGATAGTCAGGTGTCCTTTATCACCTATGTTAAAATTATTTTTTTTATAAATTTAGATAAAAAGTATAAAAAATAATATTAATTTTTATGTCATTATTACGTAAATAAATTTAATTAAATTATTAATAAATTAAAATAAAATTTTTTATTTTTTTAATATAAATTTAATAAAAAAATATTTATTATATTTTTAACCTATATCCTATAATTATAAATTAGAAAATTTATTTTTTGTCTTTTTACATTTACATTTTCAACGTCTTTACATTGAATCTCAAAATATATTTTACAATGGTTGTAAATCTTGACAATTATTGCCTTTCTTATTCACATGGATCCTCATCAATTTATATACAGCTCAGCTTTAATAACAATGTCAAATTGATTTTTCTTTTTTCTTTTTTTTTTTAAGGGAACCAATGTCAAATTGGTATGATATATGAGTAAAAAGATTATTATTGATTAAATACACCACTAACGTTTGGTTGCATTGAATATCTTCTTTTCTTTTTACACTAGCATTAGTCGAAGTTGTAAATTTGAAAAGATCACAAAAGGAGGTTTGAGAATTACAAATTTAAGATAAATTGTTAATCTATGAAGTATAAATAGAAGATACTCTCCTTCACTGTTTTTTTTTATATTTATTAAAAAATCAAACAATCAATTGATCACAGTTTTAGTAAGTTTTGCTTAATAAATTCTATGTTAATGCTTGGCACCACGTAGATGCCATCTGAGCTAAGAAAATTGCATTTTATTGATAGAAAGAAAAAAAAAAAAAAAGATTAAAAGAGGCATTGACAATCATCTACTAATAAGAGAAGGAGTGCTATACAACCAAGGGACTAAAGGTTGGAAGGCGCAAAAGAGGAACTAGAGGTTGATTATGGGAGAAAATGTAAGTTTCTTGAAACATGTGGTGTTATACAATTGTTAGTGTAAAATTTTATTAGAAAACTAATGAAACTTCAACAAATTGATCATTTATGTGCTTTTTTTTTTTTTTTTTTGAAGTTTTTAGATTAATTTAAGAGAAAACAAAATTTTCTAGACCAATAGTTAAAATGAGCAAGTCCTAAAAGTTGCTCTTAAGTCATTGAAGCGAAGATTTTCTTTAGTAACAAAAAATATAATATCAAATTATAAGTAGTACTGGACTTTATAAAATTATGAAATAGTTATAATTATCATATAAAATGAATTTAGTCATAGATAAGCTCATGTCAAATTAGAAACAACCAAACCAATGGTTATTAGAGTAGATTTTTTTTTTTCTTTAACAAGAGAAACATTAATTAGGTGTCAGTTACTGTTTAAAAGTCAACATTGGAGTCGAAACCGAATGAGTTTTACCTGTTATTCTTTGGAGTAGCGTAATCCATCCACTGGGCCACACGTGGGTGAGTTCATTAGTAGAGTAGATCTAGCCAAATCTATATTATATGTGGTTGAAGATGAATTGCACCGAGCAAAATGAGGCAAAATGTACCCTCTTTTTTTTTCTTTTTGTTTTTTTCATTCTTGGGGTGTAAAGTGCACATGTTCCAAAACAGAAGGGGCACATGCACTTTCTCGAAGAAACAGTTAAAGAAAAGCCCAATAACTTGGCTCGGACTTCAGAAAGGGCCCAAACCGTTACCCGACCCAAATCGCTCCTATAAAGGTAATCACAAACCCCAAACCCTAGTCTTCTTCCTCTACTCCGCCCCCGATCTAACCACCGCAGTCTCGTCTAAGGGTAAGCACCATGTCTAGGGTTTTTCATTTTTTCAGAGACTGTAAACTTCAGCTTATGAAGGTAGCAGTAGCAGTAGTGTTCCATGTTCCTGCTCAGTTGACAGGAATTAAGAACAGAACAATCAAAACATGAACTCTCATGTTCTTCTCTCTTGAATTGTTGTTTATTCAGCTGCATTAGGGGTTCTTTCAGTAAATGTTGTTTTATTCTTGTATCTTGTTGTTGATTGTTTGTGGATGTATATGTTTGATTATGTCTCAGATTTTTATGAGAGTTCTCTGATAGATTTTGAATGAAACCCATTTTGTTTTGCTTGAGTTATGATATTCGGGTATATGATTGTGAAAATATTGGATTTAAGGCAGTAAGAAAGATTCTTGTTTGTTTTGTGCTAATTGTTAAGGATGGTAGATTGAATATAATTTGATGGTTTTGCAATGGTAATTTTTTTCCATAGACTCCATAACATGAAATAACCTTGTCTCTGAGTTAAAAATATTTTTGTTTTCTTTTGTTTTGGGATTTGTAAGATTGAAGCATGGTGTTTAAATATAATGGCTTTTGAATTATATGTTCCTTTGCAAGTTGTTTCTGATTGGATCTTCTTGTTTTATAGCAGGTATGGCTACCAAGCAGCCAAATACTGGCCTTTTTGTTGGATTGAACAAAGGCCACATTGTAACCAAGAAGGAGTTGGCACCACGTCCTTGTGATAGGAAAGGAGTAAGTAGATTTATACTGTGAGAAAACTGAGAATCCCATTTTGTTTGTTTGTGTTAAAAAATATCTATAAATTTCTCACATTTTTACGTTGAGAGTTATATTCCTTGATGTTTTGACCTTTATCTTTTAAGGGAGGAGGCCTTTTCAATTTGTGTTTTCACCCAGTGAAATGTGTTGAGTTTTGTGTTTTTCATGTATAAAAAAATTACTGACTTCACCCTTTGGCACAGAAAATTTCCAAAAGGGTCCAATTTGTGAGGGGCTTGATTAGGGAAGTTGCTGGTTTTGCTCCATATGAGAAGAGAATTACTGAGCTTCTGAAAGTTGGCAAGGACAAGCGTGCACTTAAGGTAGCTAAAAGGAAGCTGGGAACTCACAAGAGGGCAAAGAAGAAGCGTGAGGAGATGTCTAATGCTCTCCGCAAGATGAGGTAATTTTGTGGGGGTACTTGTTTTTCCCTTCTATGATGCTTTGAGTGGATACTTGTGTGGATTCTTATGGTGTAATATTTTGCTTGCAGGGCTGGTGGAGGTGGAGAGAAGAAGAAGTGAAAGCTTATTTCATCTTTGGTGACGCCTGCCCTGTTCACATTAAAAGTTAGTTTATTTAGCAATGTGTTTGCCTTTTTGTTGAAGACAGAATGATCTGGTTTATAGATGAGAAATCTGTAGTACTCTTAAATTCTGGTTACCATGTTGTCTGGATTTTTAATGTATGGTCGTTTATTTTTTTTTAAAAAATATATATTTTCTGATGAGTACTGTTTTATTTGATAAAAAATGATTGAGAAAATTTTTGGTGGATATTTTTTTTTTTCGATATTAATTGTATAATAAGAGATAATCATTTTTCATCTTTTATCTTATCTCATTTGCATGTCATGTCATGTCATTCAAATTCAAAATTTTTTACTTACAACCATGGACAACTTGTTATTAATGATTATGGCTCTTTCATTACTCATGATATTTTATGTATTTATTAACTTGATTACATGTAAAGATTGTAAGTAAAAATTGTATAAATAAGTTGCCCTCATTACCCCTTATTTGATCGAACTTGCAATGAGGAAAAGGTTACAAAATGGGACATGCTAATGGTAGTTTTAATACATGGCTCCCTTCTCAGCAACAAAAATGTTTATTGCACTCTGAATACTCAGCGACCAAAATGTTCATTGCACTTGAAAGTTGGGGGGATCCATAGAGCTATGTTTTGAACTTCTGAGTAAGTTTCTCAACTCCTTCCCTGCAATCTCCTGCAACACGCTTCACACCTTCCTTTACGGTCAAACTGAATTCTGCTGTTGTTTGCCTCAACTCTTGTATGGATTCCTTCGCCTTTAAGACACTATTGTCTTTCAGTTCTTCAGCCTTTGCCCTGGCCCTCAAGACCCACTCCTTCAGTACTGAAATTAGATGGAGAATCCTCTCAATAATTCTATTGATGAACTCTTTAGAATTTTCTCCTACATTGCTTGCCATTGCTTTGAGCTTGTCCACTAAAGTTTGAGCCCTGCCAACGCTTCCTTCTACAGAGAGTTGCTTCCCAGCATTAAGCCATGTAACTCCTACGGCACTCTCTTCTTGAAGGTCATTGTCAACAACCACTTTGATGCCATGCCTCTCCCATCGATCTCTTGCTTCCTCTAGGGCTTTTGCATGTTCTCTGGCTTTTTTTGCCTCATCCTCAGCCCAAGCCCTGAATTAGGTAAGATGAACAAAGCCATGATATTAAAAATTGAATGACACCATTAATTGGTAAACAATCATTATGAGGTTATTATTGTACCTGGCCATGGACAAGGCTTTTTGTTCTACTTCCAGTTCATGCTGTAACCTGGCAATCTCTTGGCTTTCATTTTCTGTTTCTATTCGTAGTTTATTAATCCTTTCCTTCTCATATGATATCTCAACCTTGTTGCTCATCAGGCTTTCCAACTGCCCCTCTACTTCCCGCCTAAGCCGTGAAAGAACTTCCATTTCTGATTCAATAGCCACACGTTCCTTCATCAAAGCAATGCGGTCTTCTTCTCTCTCTGCTCTTAACCTTTCAAGTTCGTGCTTTGCCTCTTCAGCCATTTTCTCCACAGCATCAATCTTTTCCCTCTCCATGGTAAGCTCCTTTTCAAAACTTGCATTGATATCCTTTTCAACTTCAGCGACTAAAGCATTATGAGCAGAAACTGCATTTTCTGCCATAGATTCTGCTTCAATACGTGCAAGCTCCTCACTTACCATGTCAGAAGCCTCACCAGTTGCAAGAGCAACGGCAGCTTGGGCTTTTGTCACTGGCTTATCTGGCTGGAAAAGTCTTGTGCAACCTAAGGAAAGAGAAAATACAAAGGCACGTCATTTATGGTGACAAGTATGGAACAGGGGACCTGAAAACAACCGAATGTGACTTACCAAAAGCAAGGGCTATTATCCCTTGTTCTCCTGAAGACAAATCAGCCACAAGTGCAGGCCATGCTTCTGGATTTATCTTATCAATGTCTATAAAACCAGAAAGTTCGTAGAGGGTCTATACATGGCCATAAAGGAAAAAATAATTTAAAAATTAGAAATTTATTCATTGTAACAAGGAAGCTGAAGTCTAAACAAACTCCAAATATAATTAACCTTTCTGTCAGCTTCTGGGAGTTGTCTTTTCTCTAGGGCCATTTTCCAACTTACAAGATCCTGACGTGATAAAGCACTGGAGAATAAATGAGAAAATTGGGGAAGTCAGGTGCGAATCAGATTGAGCAAACACAGACTTGATAAATCAGGCAAGTGCAGCAACATAACTACAACATAGTTTGTACTGATTCATGATTAATTTTTTATTATTACCAGTTTGACAGTCACAAATTTGTTAAGAATTACAACAAATAAACAGAAGTTCATCATAACTCAGAAATTAAAGCATATTCTTCAGGGCTCGGAGATGGTGATAAGATTGAAAATAATTATCTAAATGGGAGAACTGACATAACAGCTCAATAGTGTAAATTATAATCACCTTTCAGGAGAGAAATAAACTGGGCCTTGATCTTCATTCAGAAGATCACGATTTGAAAGCTTGCTTGATATGAGTCCGGCTTCTGCCAAGCCTGAAACATCATACTACATACATAATTATGATAGAGCAAGAAAGGCCTGATTATACCATAAGGACTCCAACTTAATTTTACACAGAATACGGAATCTAATCCTCACCTTGAATGGATGAAAAGTCAGGATCCTCAGGTGTAATATCATCAAATGCAAGTTCAGTAACATTCTCTATATACATTGCAGGATAAACTTTTGACACTGTGTTCCTGCCAGTACAAGTGATCAACAGGTATCACAGGTTTTAAACTTGCACATTTTATATTGCTCGTCAAACACTAAATTCCCAACGCAAACATCCTAAGCAGGAACAAGAAAGGGACCTACCTTGAAAGAGCACTGCTTCCAGTTATTAGCCAACGAGCATACTCACGGCGTGTACATAGATCACTAGGTCGAGCATCTGCCTCAATAACCTGAAAAGGATTTAGATTTGAGTAATAGATGCAAATCTTAATTTCATCTGAGTTACTTAAACCATTAAATTCTGAACAAGCAAGAAAACCCTTTTTAGCATGCAAAATGTCATTCAAGTCTTTGGCCAGACAAGTACTGATCTACATCTGCTTTGACAAGAAACTGCAACCTAGCTATGTTTAACTTTTCATTTAAGAAGATCATAAAACCTGCTTCCAATTCTTCCAACAGAATAATTTCCTTCTTTATTTTCCGTAAAGGGCAATTATACTCCTTTTGAACACAAATAAGGAAAATTCAGAAAGTGTGAAATATAGAAATATCACTTGCTAAAACGCTGAAATGTATTATGGCAAAAATGACACCTTAGTTTTTTATACCATAACTGCAAAATTATTTTTATTCTTCTGATGCCAAGGAAGGTAATAAAGTGCAACTGAGTTGTTTATTTTAATTCAATGCAGCCAGAGAAGACTCGGTATGACGTATTAGTGAGTTTCTCTCAGTCAGCTATATTTTTGGCAGGCTAAAAACATCACAACATTGGAAAACATCTGATGTTACAATTAGGACTTGTCAGATTGTTAAAATACACATGTTATGAATAATTAGGACTTTTCAGATGTTAAAAATGCACATTCTATGAATTGTTAGCAGATGCATCCTTGACACAGAAAACATGCTTGGTACTTTGGTTCTTAAATAAAGCATCAGTCTGACAATTCTTTCAACATGAAACACGGTTTCCATTAAAGTAGAGACGCTTAAAATCATGCATGAAATGGAAGTAATTCAACTGTCTGTTTTTCACTGATATCATAAATGAAGGAAACCTCCTGCCATGTTTACTTTGACTTATGTTACTCTAATTTGTCTCTAAAATTTCAAAATGCAAAATATTTAGTAGCCCACCTATACCTTGCCATCATTCCAACAAAATGAACCATTGAGTGTGAATAAGTACCTTCAAAACCTGAAGAGCTGCTATTGCCTGCCCCTGAACTGGATCAACAACTGCAGGAATGAGAACCTTTCCAGGCATGACTTGTAGAGCTGCAGAAACTACAGATGGAGCAGGTATACCAGCAGGAGAGAAGTAATTCTTGGGAGTTGAGGATTCAAAAAATGATTTGCTTTGGTTCATCTCGCTATAACCATTTTTGTCTTGTTCATTTGCAGATAGATGGGCTGAGACTGGCAGAGAGGTGGTTTCAGATGACCCACTCTCACTTGAGTCATTCACCTCCACAGATGAATTCTTTCTCTCTTCTGAGGCTTGCGGCAATTTGCTGATATCAAGAATTTTTTTGGTTGAAGATGAGACTATAGTCTCCACATTTTCCCTGAGCACAACCTGATCTTCTAAAACTGTGTCCACACCTGAACCAACAGTGAAGCCTACAATCACAGCCTCAATGGATGTGGCATTCGAATCAGAATAAGAATCCAATGAGAGATCGGAATGTTCTTTTCCCTCTGAGCCAGTCAACTCCTCATGGTGATCATTGTTAAGGTTCGAGACATTGATGGAGTTCCCTTCAATTTGAGAAGTTGGCTCAGGTGATATCGTATCAAGATTGATATCTGAATCTTTAAGGGTAGATGCAAGAAAAGAACCACTAACAATATTGGATTCAGGCAGCTTAGGTGAGATTGGAGTTGCATCAGTGCCAACTGAAACGTCACTAAGATCAGATACTTCTCTTAAATCTTCCAGAAAAGAAGCACTTTCTATGGTATCACTATCACCAGATATGTGTCTGATACGATCTTTACCAAGTACATTTTCAATAGAAGCATCATTAAATTCTAAAGATGAAGAAAGAGCCTTATCTATACCTGTCTTGCTTTCCAGATCACCACTATCCTTCACAAAATTGCCCTTGTTTTCTTTCTCCTCAACATTACAAGAGCTCAATGAAACTTGCTGCTCAGTCATTAAGGGTTCCATTTGTTGTTGTGGCCCTGTGTTCAGCAAAAACATTAAAATAGGCCAATGAAACTCCCTGCTGAGTCACACCATTTGTGGTTGCGGCCTCATCACATCAATTTTACTCCAACAGAACACACACAGATAAAAGATAACAAAAACATACAACCTGGGAAAGCTCAAGGACAAGGAGGGATACTTACTAGAAGTGCTCCGTTTACTTATATATATTGCTGCAAAGGTAAGCCCTGCTACAAGAACAACTCCAGCCACTCCAGCTCCCAAAATCCCTGGAACCAAGCTACTTCCAAAGTGTTATTAGTCCATAAAATATAAACAGATTTGTTCCAGAAAACATCTAAGCATGATAAACCCACCCTTGAATGTAAAGCAAAAACTGAATATTGAACTGAATTAGTTTACTGAATAGTGAATGTTACTGTTGATTCTCTGATTAAAACATACATGAGAACTCAATTATGAATTGCATAGTGCAAAATTTAATTTCTATTTTTTGGGGTGAACTTGAAAATTTCATTAATTAAGCTTAAATTATCAGAAAGGTGATTTTCTTAGTAGTTCCTTTTCACAAACACTTGCAGAAATTAAACAGAAGCTAAAGAAAATAAAATGGAAAAAGGGAGAAACTTGAAACTTCTATCCCACACCTCCGAACCAATTTTTCCTCTGCGATTCAGTCGACTCTTCAGCATTATCTGACTCGGACCATCCAGAGAAAGCATCGGCAGCAGCAGAATCCGAGCGGATCCACGAACCGCCATTACGCACCAGTCTTACTCTACCTCTCCAACCGACAGACAGCCGGGGCGCCACACGATCGAGATTCCTCATCTGCGTCCGCACAAGAACTGCACGTGATCCCTTGCATTTCCCGCACTTGAGTGCTAGACGAAGCTGCAGCGAGCCCGGCGAGCACGTGGCCGTCGTAGAACCCATCAAAGAACACTGTAGCTCGCAGCCGGAAACCGGAATTGGATTGAGATTGACAGAGAGCGCAGTTGTTCTAGGGTTGTCGTGAAGGAGACAAGGGAGGAGTTAAGGCTTCTGCTTATCCATGTTCTATGTTATCTTCCACTCTGTGTCTTTGTCCTCAGTTGCGCATAATGAAAATATTTAAAGCAATGTAGAAAAGAGAGCAACTGTTTATGGACCCCTGACTGTAATTTCGATTTTCGGGTACCAACCCATCTTTAGGTTTTTTTTAACCCACATTGCAAGTTGTGCAAAACTGTCTTAAACATAATTTTAGGGGATAAATATTACTCACCAAAGTAAATTTTTCCTGAATCCTATGGATACTCTTTCTGCTTGGATTTAGGCTTGTTCGAGTTAAGAAGAATGAAGAAGAGAAAAGGGAAAGATAAGAGTTTTTAATTAATTAAATTATAATATTTAAATAATTATAATTTAATTAATTTAAAAAAATTTCTCTTTATTTTTTTAAATTAAATCCACCTTTTAAATAAGAAGATAAAGATAAAGCCATCTTTCAAAACAAAGCAGGAACAAATTATTCATTTAAATGGTTGATCAAGACAAATTAAGTATTATTTAATATATAAAGTTATCTCATGTCAAAAATTCATTTATCAATTAAGTATTTTTTAACAAAAAATAAATGTTTAATGATATTATATGTTGAATAATAAAAATTTTGTGTTGATTAATAATTTTAAAAAAATAATTTATTTCTATATTTTTTAAAGTTAAATCAGTACCTATTTAAGGGATGAATTTAAGAATTTTAACTACTTGTAAAGAAAAAAATATAATATATTGGCAACAAAGATAAAATTAAAATATTAGTATTTAATATCTTATTAAAATTAAAAATGAGACAATTAAATCAAATAACTTTTATTTAAAAAGCAAAATAACTAACTTTGATTGACGAGAGTATTATGAGGTACAAATAAATTGCAATTTGCAAAAGCTAGTAATGAAATTTTTTGCATTTTTCATATTTTTTTATTTTCTCCATCTCAAATTAATTGTCACTCCTTCGGTCTTTTTTAGTTATCTTAATCTATCAACTTTATATAAATTAACTTGATCATTTTATGTAGCAAATAAATAATAATTAAAAATTAATTATATAAATGAAAATACTTGACAAAAATTATTTTAACTATTATTTATTTAATAAAGTATATAAAATTATTTGAATTAACTTTATCTAAAAGTCAAAATAGAATAACTAAATTCAACCGGACTATTTTTCTAAATATACTCTTTTCAATGTGTAATGTAATCCTCACTCGACCAGTTTTTAAATACATAAATTCTTGCTTTGCCATTTAAAGGTGTTTTTTAGGAAATAAGAAGAGACAACAAAAGAATTGTGCAATTTAAAATTTATAAATCAAATTATTAAAATAGAGGAAGCTCCCTAATATTAAAGGTTATTTTTTAATTAAATGATTTTTAGTTTGCAACATGAATTCTCATAGAAAATACTACAACATTTTCAAGTGATTTTTTTCAACGGTTAAAGTATCTTTAGATTAAGATACACATAAACCTATTCCATACCAATGTAGTGTATTAAAGGAAATTTTTTATTATTTCCATTGTATTCACCCCGGTAGAACTTCTTTTTCTTTTTATACATCAGAAGATTAGTACAAATTAAGATTTTTAAATTAATAACTATTAACTGGGCCAAGTCTGGTTGATTTTGTTGATTTGATTCATTAACGATAAATTTATCTTCTATATTTTCATTGTTTTAGGGTCTTTTGTCATTCTGAAAACAAGGGAAAAATAGAAATAGAAAGACTGAGCATAGAGAGGTGCCTAAAAAAATAAAGAAGTCATGAATTGGAACGAGCAATCTATTGTACATTCAAGTACATTATACAACTAAACTAAGCAAACCAATGGCAAGCGCAAGGCAAAGGCAACATAATGAAGAGCTAATCTTGTGAATCTTTCTCAATACCCTTGATTAAGGGGAAACAAAATTTACATAAAGATGTTGGGTTACAGCTTAAAGTAAATAGAACTGTGAATATAGGTAATCACGAATCTTGTAGTAATCTTCACACAAGGGGCCTTCAATAACAATTTGCTGGGTTCCGGAGCCACCGCCCTATAAAAATGAAACATGTCAAAAGTAAGGTACATGGTCATTGGTCACAACCAAAATACATATGGGATGTCACTTTCCCCTAGCTTGTCAAAATGCTAGTTTTTGTTCCTCACCTTCTGGCTAGTGACCCCAACTTTGCGTATTGTAACGTATTCACCACATCGTAATGCCTTGCCAACAAACTCTACCTGAACAGAAACATCAAGTTTTTTTATTAATCTCTGACTAAAACTTTTAATATGGACCCTAAAATGTAAGTTCAAGATTAATTTATTATGTTTTCATTAACCAATGAACAAAGGATGATCTCCCTAGTTTTGACTTTCAATGAAAATGGCAATAAAAAACCAAAGAGAAGTGGCACCAATGAAAATGGCAGTCAAGTAGTCAACACAGCAGCAAAGATAAGGATATCTAACAAACCCACTGGCCTAAGTCAAGTGGTCTTGACAGCGCTTCACTAACCTACACCTAAGCTGATGGTGAAATAGCATGAAAAGTGCTTTTACAAAATTCACATGCCGCCAACCATATATTACAGAGAAGACAAATCTGTCATTTCCAGCCTATTAAGAACCGGTCCTATTTAAGCTATATGTAAGGCATGCATGGCAGAGAAATAGACTGAAAAATCACATTGTAAAGACAATGTTCAAAATTTTCTTTGATTTGTTAAGAGGATTTGAATTTACCTTGACACCCTTGCCGGCAAGGAATTGCTTGAAATCTGCCAATTTTACATCACCAACAATGACTGATTTATGTGGTGGAGGTGGGGTCGACATTGGTAGTAAAGACAACATACCATTCTCTGTTTTCCCTACCTCAGCATCAACCCAAGCTATTTCATAATCTCCCAACTGCAATTGCAGCTATGTCAGATTCAAACTCAAATACCATTGCCATGCATCATAAAAACCAATAAAGTGCATCATTAAAACCAATTAATATGCATCAGAAAAATCCAGGATCAGAATTCATTACCTTTTTAAATAGCACATTACTCATCAGCTTCTCAGAAAGTTGTACCTGCACCACACATAATGGAATAAATTAAACTCTAATCTCTGACATATGGATTGGCCCCACAAAAAGGCATTTTTCTTAAATTATACCTTATAAGCACACAAGTCAGAAGTGACGTCAATTGTCTCTTCAATTTGGGGAGCATAGACATGAGGGCAAACGTGTTTCAAGCTGTGCTGCTTCAAATGCTCTGTGGCCTCTGCTGATCCATGTACCAAGACCTACAAGTACGAGAATAAATGTATTGACGGCAAGATATCAGACCTCCAAAGCTAATAGTTGCAAAAACTCCACATGATTCTCAAAGAAAAAACAAGCCATGTTAGTATTTGATAAAACAGTGGTGTATAAAAATTTTAAAGGTACATAACAAAGTAACAAACAACCAAAATATGATTCTTCAATAGCTGCTACAGGAGGCCTTAACCCCTACCTGCGCCTGACATTGAACATCTTGTCATTTCTTGGGTAAAATTACATAACATCTACATCTGATACCATTAGATACAAATGCAAATGACACATGCTTCCATAGCAGTGGCACATGGCAGTCTAAATATAAGAGAAGCATACCAGGCACATAGCCCATGGTTAAGATAAAACTGTATGCTGCATTCATCAGTAATTTTCAAAGTTGCCTAGCAATGAAGCATGCTTACAAGCTTCAAGGGAGCCACATGGGCAAGGATTGATTTGACAGATCGACCATCAGAACGTCCTTCATAGTCTATGTAAACCAATGCACACTTTACATGTACCTGATAACCATTACAGAAAATGGTTTAGAAAATGGCAAAAATGATTACATTGCAAGTTGATTTGTTTAATAATATTAAAACCATAACCCAACAAATCTACAACTCACAATTTTGATATAACTTCTATAATTAGACACAAGTTACTAACCAAGTTAAATTCTGTTGCAAAACAAAAGAAACACAAGAAACACTAAAGCAATGGTTTAATACTGATATCAGCATTGAAAACAAGAAAGCCTCCAGAAGGTCATTTTTAAACTAATAGGCAAAGTGGGTGTGAGATAGAGTGCATGAGCAAGTACGTATGCTAGTTTTTGCGAGTCTCACTCTGGTTTGGCATGGTTAATTTTGTTCATATGTGCACGTGTCTGTGATATAGAATATCCATGACATGTTTGTGTCAGCACTTTTGTGGTATCTCTACTGTAAAATGTTCAAGAAGAGCAAACATCATTTCTGTTATCCTTTTATATTGCTCCCCTTGACCTTAAAGAGTCCTTAATGAAATTAATTAGAAAACTATTCACACACCAATTTTAGTCTTTCATGTATTTTCTCATACTAAACAAAATCATCTGACTACATTCCTGCAACTTTAAATGATCAGAATTCAACTTACAGTCAATTCACTGGATATGACTTTTGAAGGTGTTGTATCAAGCATTAAACTAGCAGCTCCTTCGTCAAATTTCCCATCCATATCCCCACCAACCTGAGATGAAAGATCAACTGTGAGCTGGCATATTAATCACTTCTAAGATTTAAGCATTAGCACAGGTAACAATCCAAAATGATCTTTTTGAAGATCTTCCAATAAATGGAGAAAAGAAAACAGTAGATTATATAACTGGCAACGTATCCAAATAAAAAATGGTAATAAGATGATTCCATTAACAAAACCAAGAAGATTTCTACACATATAGTCCAGTATTCAAACAAAATTCTATCAAAAGAATAGAGCATGAAATCTATTTTGGTAAAAAAGGATCTGAAAATTTGATTAAATTGAACTAAACATAGAAAGAGAATAGAGACACCCATTATGTCATCTAAAAGATAACTACTTCTAGTCTAGTAGAAACTAAAGAAGCATAAAAAAGAAAGAGAAACTAAAGAAGAAGACACTCACGTGCATGGCTCCTTGGTCCATGTCTTCATCCTTGATTACATAATCATCAGGATTAATGACTTCACCAAAATCATCCCACTCAGAAGTATTTTCATAGAAGGGAAACATCGGGGCAACACTAGTGGACGGTGGCACAAATCCATCAATCAGTATATCACGGTATCCACTCCCACACTGGCCTAACATGGTACAACCAAAAGAACTTAGTACAAGAACAGTAACATGATATCAACTGAGGGTATAAATATTAGAGATTAGGTGTGCTCAGTTGGTCAGTATGCTCTAGTTTTTGGACATTTTGCTAACCAAACTGACATAAAAGGTCAGGATTAAGAATCGCAACAGATCAATCTTTTCTTTTTTCACCCCAAAAAAAACCAATCCAATAAAATTAAGTAGGAATCAACCATGCATAAAACAGTAACTTGTTTTTTCATGTTAAATAATAAATTCCAAAATTGAAAAATCACTTCGAGGCACTTCCATAAATTGATGATGCTCCTTCTGAGGAAATTAATACTACAATCCACATCATTGAAGAAATGAGCCATCAGAAAAGAAAAATGAATGCTTAAGTTTATGGAAAACAGAAGAATAATACCATCTAGAGAAGTATGCTTATTCTCTTCATCAATGACCATTGGATCACTTGAAATGATATCAGGTCCTTGGGAAGTTTTAGATTCCTCCTCTTTGACAAGACTAGCTTTTAGAGCTTCTTCCTTCTTTCGGTTTTGCTCTTCTTCATAAGCTATCAACTCCTCCCCAACCAAAGGAACCCTCCTGGACATGGTGAGTTTAACAGCTTTTGGAGGTGGATCTGCCTGAAGCATACGAGCTAGTGTGCCAAACTATAAATGCATTGGAATGTACATCAGTAAATTAATGTTTATGTAGAGAACAGATCCTTCCGTTTGAAAACAATAAATCATAGAAAAAATATAAAAGACAAAAAAAGCTTTGTAAGTTAAAGAAACATATGATACCACTAACTAGATGAATCTTCAACTGCTAATTGAAAAATGTACAGAAAATATATAAAATGGATTAAGAAATCAAAAGGCAGATTTTTACTAATTTTAGAAGAAAGAATGTCTCCAAGGCTCAAACAGGATGGGATTCTAAACTTTTTGCTTCATAACTAAATCATGAAAAATACAAAGCCAATAATGATAATAACATGAATATCCTAGTCCTTCAATGGATAAGTAGTTTTGATCACCAACTAGATGCTTACCAACGTCCAAGCTGCATACAATTTATAATAGAATAAGTCCTAGATAACTCACCTGACCTCTTTCAGTAAACAGCACAAGATTCCTGGGATCTGTTGCCCATTCAGCAAAAATATCATGAGAAAAGCCTGCTTCCAAGCTGGCCATGGAAGCTAGGACAACCTAAATAGAGTATTGTTAACATATTATGTTTGGCCAATAGAAATCAGTAAATCTAATTCAAGACTATGACCCTCCAACTAACCTTTGGAGCATCTGGAGCTTTATCAAGTTCACTCTTGCTGATCAAAAGAGTGACATGCCTGCAAATATCAACATAAAATCCCACTAACTGTCAACTAAAAAACATAGGACATGTAAATATAGCAATTGAAATTGTTAAGATTTTTTCATAGAAACAGTTCAGACTTTATTAAGCATGTACATATAATGCAAACTAGAGGAAGCATCAAATTCATATAAACAAGACACCAAAAAAACTAGCATGGGATAAATCCATTAGAAAGTAAGAACTTACTTCAGAAGAAAAGCATTGTCACGTGAAGTTTCAAAAGACTTTGCTATAGAATCACTCATCCACTCAAGGAAACTCTTCACGTAATCAATTGTGCTTGATGCAACATATGTGAGAAAGAAGATAGGATAGTTCCAAGACCTCAGAGTCCAATGCTGCAGTTTATGTCATGATTCAATCTTAGCACTCAAATGGTGGTTAAAAAAAGTCACAAAATAATAATAATAAATAAATGAATAATTAAAAAAAAAATCTATGTTTTTCTACAAACCTCTTCCAATGTTAAGAGCAGTTCCAAGACTCGCCCAGCAGTATCAACAGGTAGTAAGACATTTCCACCCGCTTCTAGTGTCCTAGAAATAGTGTCTGCAGAACTTTTATGTTACAAAGTTTTGGTGCTTGACTGTATGTTAAGCATGATTCATTCATTAATTCATTCATCAATTTCATCTTTATGTTACATGGAAGGTTGTTAGATGGCCAACAAAACACATACTATTAAGATCAACAATTATGAGTACAGAGAAAAAGAACTAAATTACCTACAAAATCTTTATCCCTTTCCCTTTGTGGTCTAGGAGGTTGATTATTCAAAGCATTATAGGCATCAGTTATAAGCACAGCAGGCCGGACAAAAGATTCCAGAACAGTTCCGTTCAAATGCCTGATAAAGACAACTCATCTAAGTACACAAAGATCAAGCTATGCATATATAATAAATGCAATGAAGTTAGATGAATGTTTACGATACATACTTTTCTTTTCGACGGTTAAAATCAACAGCATATATAACATCTTCACCATCCTTTGTTATCTTCCAAACAGTACCACCCAACAAATGTCCAGCCACATGTGGAGCAATCACAATTCCCTCTCCTTTGCCTAATGATCATGAGAGATTCATAACAATTAACAAGAAATAAGTATCACTTAATTTTACACAAAGCAGACAGTGACATCCATCCACAAAGGACATTGCATCTACACATAAGCAGAACAGAAATAATGATCCAAGAAATACACCATTATCCACCCTGACTCTCTACCTAAGAATGTAAGTTGTAATTCACATCAAAGTAGCAAAGCGGTGAATGCCATGCAAGTACTGTGTAAAACAAAAGAATTAAACTTACAAGTTAATAAATCTACCTAGGTAAAGAACATATTCTAAACTCATCCCAATTGCACAAATAAAGTCAGGGAGGTGGAATCAAAAGAGAAACTCCATCCCCACAAGAAAAAGGCTACCATCCTGTGATTTTCTAATTGACGATAGATTATTAATGGAAATCCGAAAACAACATTTACCAGATAGATGGTAATTCTGGGAGTAGGTTAGCCGGGTCACATTCTGAAAAACAGAATCTATATCATCCAGAGTAAACAAATCAAACTCTGAGACTTGCTGCAAGCCAGAGAACAACATTAAAATTAATATCTTCAAGAACAAAGCACAGCAAAAGGAACAAACAAACCCCAAAAAAGCTTAGAGAGAGAGTGTGTGTGTGAACTTCACCTTCCTTGAAAGATACTGGTCGTACATCGTGAGAAGGCCCAATCTAAACACCGGCTCCGTGGAGTAAACTGGAGCCGAGAGACCAAGCTGCTTCATGGCATAAGGCAAGGCGCCGAGATGAAGCGTATCTGGATAAGACAACAACACTGCGTCAATCGTCGACGCCACCCTGCAACACCGACCCACATTTTAGAAAACGGAAGCTGGAAGCTCTCCTTCATTGAGGCATAAATGGAAAATGATGAATCGAAATCAGATATTTGAATTAAGAATTGGAAAACCTGGAGAGGGGTTGAAGGAGGGAAGGGTCGAAGAGGTCATTCCAGCCACAGTCGATTAAGAAGTTGAAGCCGTCGACGGAGACGAGGTAGGAGAGTGGGTTCTCGTTGTACACTCCACACAATGGCGTTACCTGCACTGAAGTTCCCATTCTGCTTACCTCAATTCTGAGAGCGCTAGGGTTTTCTTATTTTTACCGTTTAGATCGAAGAGAAGAAAGAATAAATACGACGTCGTAATCCCTAAACGAAAAAATGTCTCATCCTAGGCAGTGTTTGGATTCTATCTTTCTCCATATAGAATCCAATGAAGTCTCATCTTTTGCCTCATAATATATTTAAATTAAGGAAAATGAAAGGTGAAAAAGAGAAGATCTTTTAAATTATAATAAAATATTATAATTTAATTAGTTAAAAAACATCTTCTTCGATCTTTTCAATCTAAATATATTATTAAAGTACACCTACTGATACCATATCTCAAAAATTACTTTAAGACAAAATATTTAGATGTGTTTAGTTTGGTAATTTTCTTATAAGTTGCTTATGAGGAAGTCTAAGATGAAATTTTGCTTCCAATATCAAAGGTTGTTAATGAGATATCAAAAGTTCGAGAGAAAAATTTTCTTCAATTCATAGCTAGTTCATTTTTCAAATAATAATTTATATTTTTATTTCATGTGTTATAGGTGATTATTTATACTTCATAACCAATCACGATAAACAACCCGATTTCCAAGTTCAATATATAGGTTCACATACTTAAATTTGGTCTTGGCTTCTCCAGAAACAAATTTTGGAAAAAAAAAAATCCAACCAATCACACCTTGAAAGAAAACATTCTTGAGAAACCAAACTCTATTACGAGAGAACCCTTCTAAGCTCTCTTATATTCTCTTTTATGATAGTTCCTCAAATTGTTTAAACTGCTTAATTTATCTATATATTCTCTGTTTTTATATAAAAAAAAAATACAACAAAAAACCTGCCAGCTTAATGGTTCAACAATTTAATGTAAGCTTTTTTCACCATGATAAAGATTCGATCTTCTCCCTCCTTCGAACCACTTACCTTAATAAAATATATATATATATATATAAATACACATCATGTAGTTGCCCTAGGAGTATCGAGTTATTTGTGCCAAAAAAAATAAAATTAAAAATAAAAATAAAACCTGCCAGCTTAATGGTTCAACAATTTAATGTAAGCTTTTTTCACCATGATAAAGATTCGATCTTCTCCCTCCTTCGAACCACTTACCTTAATAAAATATATATATATATATATAAATACACATCATGTAGTTGCCCTAGGAGTATCGAGTTATTTGTGCCAAAAAAAATAAAATTAAAAATAAAAATAAAACCTGCCAGCTTAATGGTTCAACAATTTAATGTAAGCTTTTTTCACCATGATAAAGATTCGATCTTCTCCCTCCTTCGAACCACTTACCTTAATAAAATATATATATATATATATAAATACACATCATGTAGTTGCCCTAGGAGTATCGAGTTATTTGTGCCAAAAAAAATAAAATTAAAAATAAAAATAAAACCCCAAACCTCTAAACCCCATTTCCTAGGAAGTGAAATCTGAGATCAGGGGGGGCTGCACAAGGCACACGCTCTTCATCTTGCCAGTTGCCACGTTAAGGTTTGTGGTTTCTGTGCAATGCTTAATTTCCCTTCATCATTCCTACTTTTAGAATACTTGCTATTTTAGTCCCCAATCTTTAGGGTTAATTTCAAATTCAATTTAGTCCACATTTTGTTTAACCAAATCTAAGCTCCCTACCAACAATTTTTTAGTTTGAATGAAACAAACTTACTCCTTTAAATAAGATCTCATATTCAAGTTTTACAAATAAAAAGACAAGTGATAGAAAAGTTATATTTTATGAGATCTAACATAGCTTACTACAAATTAATTAAGTCCTAATAAAACTTCGAGATATCGAGAACTTAGCACCAAAGATATCTAGAGTCCCTTAGTCCAATTTTAAGAACATGCTAATTTCAATTTCAATTTTCTTTGGTACGTCATTTCAAATTTCAATGGTCCATCCCCGATACCATGTGCTCATTGTCATTGGTTAAATGGGGAAATACATTACCACATACGAAAAGTTGGCATTGGAGTTAAGACTCCAGAATATAGGCAGTGAGTTCTTATCTTCTACACTACTTTACCGACATTGAAAGGCATATACAACTTTAAATTGGCCCCTGAAGATTTAAACCGTTTTTAGCCATTAATATGAATGGCTCAGACATCAATTTGGTGGACTTTGTCATTGAGGTTTGGTATGGTTCCTTCCCACAACTCAGCTAGCTCGTTCCTTATCCAAGAGATGAAAACCACAGGTCCCAATGTAGAAGGCACCTGCACATAAAAGACTCAGCATAACTGAAATATGTCCACTTGAAAAAAAAAAGGAAAAAGAAAAAAAAAGCTATCACATATAAATGGGGAGAGAGGATGATACTTGTCCGAATGACTAGATCATATTTGCAAGAAAGAAAGCATAAAAATCAAGATAGAACTAATAAACTTGAAGAACAAAAATAGTTAAATACCAGATAAAGAAGAGCAGGTTGAGGAGAGTGAGTCAGAACACCAGCTGCTAATGCAGTAACTAGCCCAATTGCATATCCAGGAAGGGCATACCAAATGTATTTGTGTCCCTTTGATGAATATAAATCTAAAAGATTTACTGTTTCCCTACTCTTTCGATGATCAAAACACAGGACTAGTGCCAGGAGCATGGCTGGTATAGCCTACATGATACAAATACAAAGTGGAACTTGTTAATAAAGTAGAATTCAATTGAAGAGGGAAGTAATACCACGACATTCCCAATAAAAACACAAAATCCCTTTTTGGTTGAGTTGTTGGAGTTTGGGGGGGGGGAGAGATCTTGTCTAAAGAATAGGTGATTTGTCCATAATCTGAACTGCTTTAGCTTGTAATGCTGGATATTGTAGTACTGAACAGTTTTAACCCTCTATGGAGAAATGGCCCGTAAAAAAGGATGCAGAACATTCCCGAAGTGACATAATGACATCGACAAACAGAAGGAAAATGAGCATGATCAGAGCCAGACTCTGTGGTAACTGGTGAGGATAGTAATAGTACACTCGATTCAAGCTATTAGTTATATATTGTTATCTTCATTATTGATTGAAACTATTATAAAAGGAGTCTGATCTAATCTGGACAAGATTAGTGGAAGATAATCAGTTGAATATACTACAAGTCAGCTAGTTTCATAAAAGTTTGAGCTTAAAACTGAATCCACATTGATGAAATACAGGATTAGACAGCTTAAAAGATGACTCACAAAAAATGGTGAAGAGGCAATATAATGAGGCCTTCATGAATCTATGCAGGGAGGACATTGCATGATATGTAGATTTTAGCATTAAACAGCCAAAATTTAAAAAGAATGATGAACTAAATTCACATTACCCAAAGGAAAAAATAAATGCACAGTGCAATACTTTAAAAAATCATTAAAAAAAAAAAAAAAAAAAAAACACCCAGACAGCACTTAGTAATAGATTAAAATTCAAGAAATTATCCCCAAACAGTTACTGCCTTTAAACCTTATCACCTGTCCATTCACTGGTTATTATCTTAATCGAATAATAAAATCATCAAAGTTGGCAGAACTGCTATGGTTATATATGAGAGAAAAGTTTCACATACCATGTCACCAAGACCAAGCATCATGAAATCTGCTGCATTTCCACCAGGAGATGTTCCACCCAACAAATTTCTGGGGAAAACAATCTTCACAGGCAACTCTAGTTTCTTTGTTATCAATTGTAACCCAGGGAGACTCAAGCTATTGGCAACAGTGTGAACAGGATTTGAAGCTTGCTGTGTTGCCACTGATACCATGACATTAGCGCCAAAAAATCTTTCAGAGAAGAAAACCCAGAATATGTCATACACAAACAAACATACAAGGAGCATTGCACATATTTTGATGTTAGGAAGGCGAACATGACTGACAAATGCAATGCAGATAGAGATGCCCAACAAATTGTTTAATATCCAATGCCCAGAAATAAGCCAAGCTGCAACTGTAATAGAACATGCCAACAGCAATAACCCTTGAATTCGTGTAAATGACTTTGAGCAGCACCGTGACACAAATGGGTCAGCCAAACCAAATTGTGACTTCATGTACGCAACATAAGGAGAGAAGAAGAAGAAAAGGGATGAAACAGAGGCAATAGCTGTGAATGCTGTGAGAAGTTGTGAGACAGAAGAAAACAGGTAAAACATCAGAAGCAAACTGCAGGAGCTCATTACAGGGATCATTAGAGCTTGGGATCTATCCAAAGTAATTGAAGCTTCTGACAAGTCCCGGTTCCTCTCCATTTCCTTCCCATAATTCAAAGCACGGAATGCAGATCCAAATGTCACAGCCACTGCTGTAACGATAAGGGTAATGGGAGCAGGCTCAAGCAAATATAACAGCTTCCACAAGGGTTCCATTGCTAAATAAGCACACAACTATCGCTCTTTAAATTTTCTTAAACTTGTCTTTCACACACATAAATCAAACACAGATGTGACACAATTAGGAATTTGCCACCCAAGTTGCACCTCTTCTCTGGCAAACTTCTAATCAGAGAAATCCATGCAACCTGCAAAGCAATAAAGCCAAAGGAAAAACATAAGAATATGTCAAATTAACCACAAAATCAAAACCAAGGTAGGAATAATTGTCTGAAATTAAGGTTGATCCACTTTCAAAAGAAAACCTTCATATTAATAGGCAAAAAATTAAGGTTGAAACCATAAGGTTGGTATTAACAAGTTCTTTCCAATCAGATTTTGATACTAAAAAGGAACACAAAAATACCCCCAAATGTTCCACAGGAAAATTCACTGATGCAACCCATTTGTCTCTCCTAGATAATCTTAGCAGGTCAAATTTTCACCATATCCTCCTGTACCCAGGAGCGGCCTCAAACTAAAGCTGTGTGAAATATTAACCTGAAAAAATTTGCAAATAATTCTAAAAATGTTTACTTTCACTAAAAAACACAAAATCCCCTCTAAAACAACCACACAAAGGAAAGTGGGGTTAAAGTTAACATCTTGATTTCGTCAAAGTACTGAAAAAACAATCAAATTTTCCCAGGATTTCTCAGGAACCAAACACATAATGAGATTAACCGAAAATTCTAATTACATTTAACCAAAAACAAAAACCTAATCCTCCCAAACATCTACCATCTAGGGCTGATAAAATACCGAAAACAATCAACTAATACAGAAATTTCAACACATACACAGCAAGAAATGATAAACAAGAAGCCATGAAAGGGAAGATCTGAAACAAAAAGAGAACTTGAAGACGATAAATCAGAGTCGCGGTAGCTGATTGTGAAAAAGATATTTTGAGGGGACTAACCTTGGACTTCCTCCAGTTTCAGAGACTTTTCCTCTGGCTCTGATCAACAAGCTCTATTTTAGTATTTTTCCCTCGTGACCGAAGGAAACGAGAAATTAGATTAAAGTTAATTTGCAAATTTGCCCCTGTGTTTGCTGCATTTTGTTTTTTTAGACTCTCTTTCGCTGCTTTAATTTTTTAATTCTTTTATTATTTATTATGTTAAAAATATATAAAATATTAATTAAAATAAATATTTAATATATTAAAAATAGTATTATATAATTTAAATTATATCAAAATTATATTATAATAATAAGTTGAATAGGAATTAAATCTTTTAATATTAAAATCTTTTTATTTATTTATTTTTTGAATGTTAAAAGTAAAATCCGAGATTTATACTTTTAAGTTTTATATGAAAAATCTTTTTATGAGGATGAGATAATCATTAAATTAGAAGGATATTTTTTTAAAATTAAAATTTTTTATTTAATAATACATATTTTATAATTTAATATAATATTAATTATAAAATAAAATTTTTGTATTAAATATATTTTTTATATATTTTTTCATATTAAAAACCCTTAACAAGCACCTGATTCTTATGATTCAATGACCATAAACCTAAGAGTTGGGTAGAGGAGTAAGAAATAAGAATCCCCAACCTAAATGTAAACTCGTTAAAAAAAAAAAAAAAACCACCTTTAACACATCCAAACTATGCCTTTAGTTAGCTGTCTTTCTCAGTGTTGTCTGTATGGTTTCGTATCAGTTGGTACAGTTGGTACGTAACGGTTTTATCAATTAACTGAAACGAAACAAGTTTAAATATCGTTTCAGTCAAATATCGATAATTTTGGTCAAATTTCAATGTACCAGTCGGTACACCTTAAGTCCAAAAAAAAAAAAAAAGGATGCCCGATTTCATATTGCAGATCTATTTTTGTTCTCCTTCTTCAACAGGAACAGCAAAGCTTTTCCTCAACACATCGTCGGTGGGTTGGTGTCTTGGTGATTCGGTGAACGCTTCGTTTTGGCTAGGGGTTTTTCACTTCGTTTATTAACCCTATAATTTCATGTTGCATATCTTTGTTTTTGTTTTCCTCCTTCCTCACAAACGGTGAACCTCATCCTCAACACATTGCCAGTGGGTTGGTGATTTCGTAAACGCTTCATTTTGCTAGGGGTTTTTTTTTTATTAACCCTACAATTTCATATCGTAGATCTTTGTTCTCCTCCTTCATCACGAACGACGAACTTCGTCCTCAAGTCGTTGCCAGTGAGCTGGTGATTCGATGAATGCTTTGCTACGACTGCTTTTTCTTTCCATTTTTATCTCTCGTGATCTCTTCACCACTCTCCAACAACTCAGCTTCTCAGCTTCGTCTCTCAGGTATGAATTGTTCTTCCTTTTCTTTTTTGATTTAAAATGCCAGATTCTTAGGGGTTTTTAAGTTTTTTACGGATGATAGTGGGTGATTGTTCTTCCTTTTTTATTTCTCTGCATTTTGCAATTTGCATGCATTTTTCTAGCTTTTTCTCTTGCGTGCTTGATTCAGATTCAAGAAACAGTTTAACAATTTTACGGTTTTTCAATTAGTAGTGGGTGATTGTTCTTCCTTTTATATTTCTCTACATTTTGCAATTTGCAATTCTAAATATGCAATTAACAAGTTTGGCAATTTTCGGTTTTTCAATTGGCAGTGGGTGATGGCATGCATTTTTCTTTACAGGGCATTTTTCTCTACACATTTTGCAATTCGCTTTTTTCTCTTGGTGTGCTTGATTGCTATTCATGAATGATGAAAAGATTGTGTGGCAGTAGATGATAGTGTTGAACAGTTGAAGAACCCTTGTGCTGAACCCAGGAGTTTGTTTCTATTATTGTAATATAGATGATGATTGCTTTTTCTTTCTTTCTTTCTTTTTTTCTAGTTTAAAAGGTTTTTTTAAATCTTGTTTCTAATTATTTTAGTTTCTTTTATAATTATTTTAAAATTTGATATTTAATTTATAAAAATATATATTTATAGTGATAAATCCAAAATGATACGTGAAAAATTTTGGTATCCGATATTTACCGTTTTAGTAGTAAAATCGATATATATATCGATATGGTATTGACAACTTTGGGACTCTTTCTCATTGGGTAGAAACTAGAACCTGGGCTAGACTTAGTGGCCACCTATTATTTTGTATTTTTTTTGTTTGTATTAATCTTTCGATATTCAGTAATTACATTAGATATCAATTAATTCGGAATCGAGTCGCATTGAATTTCATTTGAAAAAGCTCTCCTAACGTCTGTTTTTTTATTTACAATACTCAAACTCGAAATCTTACTTAAAAAAAATCGAATCTTTCTACTCGGATCAGTTGGTCATTGGACTAATTCAAGATAAAAAATTGAAGGTTTTAACTTTTGAAAGTTTAAAAAAAATAAAAATAAGCATCTGGCCCATCCGACCTAATGGCAATAGCCACCTCGGTGCATTCCCTCTTCCCTGGGCTGGGTTCGAAACCCGCCCCTTGCAAATATGTTAAAAAAATAAAAATAAAAATAAAAAAAAGCGTCGTTGCTGAGAATCAAAACCGGGTCGTCCACGGGACTGGCGGAAATACTCACCACCATACTAGAACGAGTTGGGGTCCAGTCTACGCATTCATTCATTTAACAGTGTAACTTTTTCTTCTTCATAATTTCCTGAAATCTAAAAGCGCTGTTACGTTCTCGACTTGACTTTGCTGTGTATATTTGTTTTTGGCCAAAGCACATATTTGTATTATACACTTTTTTTTTTTTTTACAATTAATACGTTAAAATAATTTTTGTTTTGGTTAATACCTTCTATTATTTAAAATCTATGAAAAATTTAAAAATTTATTATTAAATTCTCTATTTATACCTTAATTTTATAGTCACACCTCCTATTTGTATTATGATTTTATTAGTAATTTAAGATGTTTTTATAGATTTTAAATTATAAAAAGTATTAACACTACAAGAATACACAGAATTACCGATGAAACCTCATGTCGGAAATCAGGAGTGAGCTTGTCGGTAAATAAATTTTCCAACTTATACTTTGTCGGTAATGTACTTGTCGGTGTTGGCTTCCTCGGTAATTACTTCACCGATGTGAGATGAAGTTACGTCGGTAATTTGGTCCAAATTACCGACAAAACACAAGTCTCAAACTAACTACCGGAGCCGTACTACCGGAGCTTTTCACGTAAGTCAAGGTGTCAATTACCGACGAGCTTCACGTCTCTAGCTGTAGACCTCGTTTACTTCACCCCTGTGTTACCTCGTTTATTGCATCCTCGTTTGTTGCAGCCGGTCAACTCATGTCAGTAAATTACCGACAAATAATTAATCGGAAACTTGATTTAGATATTTGTAAATTTCTTGCCGATTTGCAAGAATTAATTGGTTTAGATAGCATTTACCGACAAAGTTCCAATCGGCAATAAGCAAGAAGCCCAAAAAAAAAATTTAGCATTTTACCGACAAAGCTCCAATCGGTAATGTGGTTTAGGAATTGAAAAAAAAGAAATTTACAGCATTCCCCTTTCTGCCATTCCCCTTTCTGCCATTCCCCTTTCTGCAACCGAGAAAGAAATAAATTAGTATATAATTTAATTAAAACAAAAAAACTGTTAATATGAAAAAATAATATTATTAGTCATTCAACACATAAGCAATAAAATATATATACACATTTAATAATGAATGTCCTTCAAACCAAAAAGATTATGGGATGATTAATCTTAATTTATAATGGTTAATATTATAAAAAATAAATATACATTTAAATTTTATAATAAAAAAATTATTAAATTTATTTACTAAAACTAAGAATTAAGACATAATTAAAAAATAATAAGACAAATTGAGTAAATATAATTAAATAGCATAATCAAAAAAATTGAATAGTACCTCAATTTTGATATTATAAGGCACCAGCAGCCATTTCCTGAAAAAATGATAAAATATAAATTAATAAAATATTTATGTATTATTTCAACCAAATAATAATCAAATTACAATTAAAATTAAATTATAAGTTACATAAATAAAATTTATTTACCAATTACTATCTCTCACAATGTTTCCTACAAAACAACAATATTAAAAAATATTAGTAGTGTAAATAAATTTATCAATAACTTAAATTCTTGTTTAATCAACAATTAATTAGCTAGAAAAAGAATGGAAGAGAAAAAGAGTAGAGATTAAGAAGATATAAACTAAAATTAATATAAGTATAATGTAATAATAAATATGGTAAATTGAGCAGCAGATTAATGGAAGAAAAATCCGGCCAGGAGCTAGAGACAAAGCTGGAGAGGAGAAGAAAAAGAAGAAGAAGAAGAATGAAGAAACAAATAAAATGAACGCGCGGTGCAGTATGTATATATAGAGCCTTTTAGCAATGGCTAGCTTGTCGGTATTCCTATTACCGACGTGATGCTCATGGGTGAAGTCAAAATTTCAGCGGGAGCAACCCATCCAAAAAATTTGTGAGCCCGCTTGTTTCTTACCGACTAGCTTCTTGCCGGTAAAGTGACAATTTCGGCGCCACCCCCAAATATCCAAAATTTTGTTTCTTACCGACAAGAACCTTGTCGGTAAAGTGACAATTTCCGCGCCAAATCCAAAAAATTTGTAAGCTGCTTTTCTTGCCCTCAATTACCGACAAAGGCTTGCTGGGAAGTTAAGAGCATGCTGGGGAAGTGAAATGCCTTCAATTTGAATGGCATATTGGCAAGTTAAAAGCAAAACTTGGTCCAACAATGAAGATTGCCAACCCGCTCCTTGTGTGGGTAATTGTGGGTAATTATATGAGTAGTGCTAAGTCCCCCTTCATTACCAGATTTATTTCTTAAATTTATTTAATTTTGTAAAGTTGCCTAAATCTATATAATATATATTTAATTTTGAATTTATTCAATAGGTTTTTTACAATTTGGTCATTTTAGTGTACAATAATTCTAAAAAAAATTTGACAGAGTTTCCCCATATATCTGATCATAACCAATTTTTTTAAACCTGCATTGGCGATGAAAAGCACATATTCTACAACTTTACCATACTAAAAGTAGTTTTTTCTCTTCAACCACAACCATAAAGTATATCAACCATATGCCATTGTCCTAAATAACTACATGATATTCAATTCATAACAATTAACCCCCAAAATAGTCCAAAGGTTCATACTTCAAGCATGATTACTAGAGGTCAAGTAAAATATGAAAAGATATCCTAATAAAAAGTTAAAGCTAGCAGTTAAAAGTACTAATAGAAATAAAGGCAACCATATAGAGTGTGCAGATAACCATGCAGATAACCAAGCAGATAACCAAGCAGAAAACAAAACTAAGGAGCTGAATAGTCTGGATCGAAAACAGGACGATATACATCATCTTGAGGTGGAAGCTGTTGCTGCTGATGTTCAGGCACAATAGGAGAGGTCTGTGTAGAATCAGTAGAGTAGGTGACAGGTGTATTCATGCGAAGACCTGAGCCCTGATTACGTGAAGGCTGTGGTGAGGCAAATGGCTGATGACCTACATGGGGAGAGATGCCATAAGCAGCTAGAGCTGCTGCAACAGACTGTGCAATTGTTTGGCTCATATTATTCTGGGCTTGGGTCATACTATTTTGGGCTTGTGTCATCTGGGCTAGCTGTTGTTGCATCATA